CAACCTATTTTCAGATGAACATCAATCAATACCATCAAACCAGTGTCGTGTTTTAAATTGTGATCAATTAATAATCACCTTATATAACTCCTCGTCGAATTGCTCCAACTGAGCCGTTTTGGCCATATACTCTCTTCGCATGAAAAATGGGGTCTGCAATTTCTTATATCCTTTTTTTCTCAGAAACGAAAGACCGTACTGTATAAGCGCTAAATTGAGGTCCACGCCATCGTTCGTCAGAAAATAGCCACGATGACCGGCAATATTTGTTCCTTTATCGAGAAAATGGTGAACATAACCATCTGCTGGAGACGAAATGCATCATTGTCTTGTAGATCCATAAATACCTCTCTCAGAGTCATAACCGTCGATTCTGAATAGTACCTCGTGATGCGACAAAATTCCATCTTTCTTGACAGGTTTTCGTTCGACACCGTCTGCATCCGCCGATGGTTCCCATTTCCGAATAATCTCATTATTTGCCTCATCCAAAGAGGCGGGTACAGAATTGTGGACGATATTTCCAATAGTACTGACTTTTTGTTTCAATATTTCTTCTTTTTCCTTTTCAAGATTTGTAAGACGTTCTTTCTCTGAGTTGAGAGATTCCTTCTCGGCGATTAATGTCGAGGCGTCTTCACGGTTCTAAGATTTTGAATAATATAACGTGGTTCAACGTAAAATCAGCGATACACGATTAATAATTAGGATCGAATACCTTTTTCTTCAAACCTATTTCCTTTTGTAAGGCATTCTGTTTCTTGTTGACCTGATCCAAGTCATAACGAACTAAAAAATTCCAACGGATGTAATTGAGAACTTGGTTTAAAAAGGTTTTCGATTGACCTTCAGAAGCGTACCTTTCCGCCATTCATTGTACAAATTGATAATTTCGTCAACCAATTCGACCGAAGCACCTCTCTTTCTTTGAGATTCTCGGATTAACTCGGGGTTCCCACCCTTATCAACTTGAAAAAGGTTGAGATCAAGCATTTTTTTTTTTTTTCCTTTTGTCGAAAGCACGTACAGTTTTTATAAACGCACGTTGTACGACGGCAGATCTTGTGACTCATTCGAACTCAATTTTACGCAGTTCATGTTAAAAATTAAGATTGAAGAAAAAGAAGAATTAACTTTATATAGATAGTGTAAGGAAATAAATCAAATGTTTTACTATGCAACTTTGAGTTTTTTTTTACGTGATTTGATATCGCCTAATATCGTGGTTTTAAAAATTTTTTAAAAACCATTAAAACCATTTTTATGTCAAATTATGTGACGGA